CCAATCAAAAAAAAAAAAAAATACACATACACACAAGCTGTATCCTCTCCCACTCTCTCTACTTCTCATCCCCTCTTGCCAGCATGTCTGTCTGTTCAAAACCAGAGCAGCGTCTTAATCGAGGCTCAGAGACGTGACAAGAATGTCTTAGCAGTTCTGGCTCTGCAGTGCAGACGTAAACATACACAAAGAAACACACACATTCTGCTTGGTAGCCAATTAACAACCTGCGATCAAGCGCCAGAGGAATAACTGCATGTTGATGAGCATGTGTGTTTGTGATGAGCTGGTGGCCGTCAGAACCACTTACAAGGATAGGAGGATGTCTCTTTAATGTGCTCGAGGGAAATTTTTTTTCTTCTCCACTATGGGCCAACTAAGACAGGAGCAAGGAAGTGCGAGTTGGTGCCTGAGATCCTTTTTGTGTGTGTTTGTTTGATGCTATCTTCAGTATATATGCATTTGTGCATTCATTCAGCATTAGGAGAACAATGCAAATGATTTGATGAGCGTAGCCTTGCCTTCTCCTCCTTCTCCTCCTTATCCTCCCCTCTTCTTCATCCTTCCTCTTTTTGTTACCTTTCATTTTCCTCCTTACTTCTATCTTCTATCCTGCCTTCACTTTGGGGAGTAATATTGACACAATATTCCTGAGCAGTAAGACACTGTGCCAGTCCAGGTTTCATCTTTATCTTTCATCTTTTTTTATTTTATTTTATTTTTATTATTATTATTATCATTATAAGGAAGACTGTGGGTCTAAATTCAGGCTTTTGTGTTGTTTTACCCTACTTTTCGGCACACTCCCCCTTATGGGTTTTGCTGTACACTGTCTGGATAACTGAACAAAACTACAAGTTAATAAAATATGTTCACAATTAGTCCACACTTAAACATTTACACAAGATACTACAAGACCAGCCGAGAGTTCACTGAGAAAATGTTGTGCTCCCCCTTTTCTTTTTTTTAATTGAAATCATGATCTGTTTGACTTCATTTTACATGTATGCATCCAGATTAGGTTTTTCACATTCATGGTGTCTTTCCAGAGATAAAGCTGACCTGGACAGCAGACTGTTTAATCCCTGTGTTATGATTGGTTAATGCATGATAGCTTCATTTTGATTGATTTGATCTTTTCTGATTAATGGTAAAATGAGTATATGTCATAAAAGCAATGGTATAATGAAATAAATAGGTAAAGTTAACAGCTACCACATTTATTAGAAGCTCTGCATAACTGAAAATACAATGAGTTTTTTTCATATGTTAGTGTATTAATTTAGCTTTTTTTAAACTAGCATGACAAATAGTGGCAAGCTGAGGGGGTTTGTCTGCAGACTGCAGGACACGGGCAGAACACTTAGGAGTGTAATGTGTTCCATCCAGTTGCTCCCCTAAACCCTGCCCCTAATACCTAACAAGCTGCATGTGAGTGTGGGAGGGTTTATGGATGTAACTGGATGCATCACGTGACAAGCCTAAACATTCTGAACCTCTCTTGCAGTCTGGCAACAGATACGTTTTGGCAAACTGCTGATATTGCAGGAAACTTGGTGGGTTGTAATGAAGAATCTTTTAAAGGAAATGCTGCCATCTAGTGGAAATATGTGCGAATGACAGGGGGAAATCATTATAATCACCATGTGAAGAGCTACTATTAAATAACAAATGCTTTGTATATTCGTTTTATATAGTGTGTCAACTCTCCTTTTTTTACTGTAGTAATATTTGTGCATGTCAATTCAAACAGTAAGTTTTCTGATCAATCTGGAATAATCCAGTTTGGGATTTTTTTCCCATGTTGTACAATTTTGTTTTTGTTGTTTGTTTGTTTGTTTGTTTTACAAAAAATGTTTATTTATTTATTTATTTAAAATGTTGCTGATAGATTTTGAGTTTTTATTTATTCATTTAATTAATTATTGTTGATTACATTTGATTACATTGCATTTCAGAATAACCTGCACACACATGTAGCAAAAATTATACAGTAGTAAAACCACCACATAAACTGATAATTACAATTTATTATTTTTATTTATCATGTCCGGTTACATACAAATATAAAACAAACACATATGTTCATATATATAAATACTTGTCATTGGCACAGCAACATTGTGGTCAGTCCATGTGTTCAGTCCTGTGTGCTGCTGTCTCTCTCTGTGCCGCTGCCTTCTGGGTGTGAACACACACTCTGCTGAGTTTTCTCCTCCTCCGAGCTCCTCTTGATAGTCAGCTCTCTCTCAGCCTCCTCAGCACATGGAGCTTTGGGGGCCTGGATGTGGAGCTTCCCGTCTGGAGCCAGGCAGCATGTGACGGCTTCAGGGTTCAGTCCTTCAGGCAGATCAAACTCCTGTCTGAACTCCTGCAGTCTGTAAGAGTAGGAGCCTTTCCCATCCTCCTGCTTCTTCTCTGTCTTCCCACTGACTCTCAGCTTCCTGCCCACCTGCCTCACAGACAGCTCCTCTGGGGAGAAGCCGCGAGTGTCCAGGGTCAGGCCAAAGTGCTCTCCCTCTTTGTCCAGCTGGTAGGAGACCGGCTGCACGGCCACACTGCTTTGGAAAGGCTCTGTCTCCTCCAGGATCTTATGTTGAAGTTTGTGCATCAGCTCCAGACTGCAGCGCAGCTCCTGTAGGTTTCTCCGCAGTAGATCCTGCTGGTAGAGCAGAGGTCTGACCTCTGGCCACAGACTGCGTACAGGCCAGTGGAAGTCCATGAATGGACTGAGGGCAGACTGGAATCCATGAGAGCACAGCATCTTCAGCGTGTGTTTAGCGTCAAGTCCTCTTGCTGTAAGTAGAGACACTGTTAAGGAGTCTGTTTTCTTCAGTGTTGCTCGTGTTGCTTTCTGTCTCAGCAGTGGGACTGGCCCAGCTTTTATGTTCTCACTAGAGGAGCTCCAGAGGCTTCGGGAACTTTCCTGTCATTTCCACAGCTCTCCAGTGGGTGGAGCTGTTTCACAGGACTGCTGATGTCACCGGATAGTTCTAGTTTTTTCATGAACTTTACTCTGATCACTTATCACATAAACATTGAGCTGCATAATGAAGGATCTCAAAAGTGACTTACATTTTCATTGTCTTTTATCAAGAGAACTATGATTTGTCATATCAAGTAAACTTCTTCAAAATTACATTTTGAAGAAATGTATCAGTATCGAGCAATGTTTTGCTGAGCATCTATTCACAGTTGTGTGTGTTGAGTTACACATGTGGCAGTTGATTTTGCCTATAACCAAGAGGAATCCACATCTGCAGCTAATTAAATATCTTTAGCAGATTACACATGTATGAACCTGTTACCCCGGCGCACTGATGGCACTGGATCATTCCCGTTTCTTCATGAACCCTCATACACTTGCAGAATTTCCCCACTAGGTGTCACTCAAAGACATTTCATGAAATTAAAGTATCATTTTACTCAATTTGCAACAATCTGACTTTTCTCACAAACCTCCCAAGGTATCTAGCCCTGTTAAATACTAGTGGATGAATAAAACTTGTAATAAAGACAATAACACAGTAATACTACTACTACTAGGGTTTGCCATGGCTTTAATATACTTTAAATCAGCTTTTGCATCCAGTCTGTGGCAGATTTGATTTCATCAATTATTTGTTCAACTTGTCTCCATCTCTCCACTTCATCAGTCAGCAGTTCAGTCATCTTCCTCCTTTTTTCCTTAGATAGACTTCTCTTTTTCAGCAACCACATTACTCTGAAGCCCATGCCTGCCTATTAGTACTAAAATCAATGATGGAAACCAGGCAAGTGGAGACTTTAATACAATAAAGAGGAAAGTAAAGGGGAGAAGACAAGCACACACTTTTCTCAGTAGATATTGCCTTTGTAATTTAAGACTTACTTTTTGATTTATAATTTACAGCTTTAGAATGATTCAGTGTGGAGACTGACACACAATCTGTCCTCTCTTTTTGTTGGTGTTTTTCAGCAACACCTTTCACTCTCTCTGGAGGACGTTTATCTCCTGGGGTCACATTTCCCATCTCCTCTGTATTTTCCAGTCAGGCAAATGAAGACAGCTCTTGATATTTCCTCTGTTTAATAAATGTTTTGTTTCTAAAAACACAATATTATTATCATTATTTTTTTATTTTGTTTGAGGTATTATAATTGAATTCTGTTTTGATTTCAGAAGCAGAGTCAGCTTTATCCGCCAGGTGTGTTGAACACACAAAGAATTTGACTTCAGCACAGTGGCTCTCAGTGTGCATGTGCAATGTTCTTCCATAAGGCAACCAGTAAACAAGATAAGACTGAGAGAATAAGAAAAGAAAAAGGATGTGCAAACAAAAACAAGGAACGTGCATTAGGAAAATAAAAAATGAAATGAAATCCACTGTCATCTCTATCTGTGGCACCACCCTGATGCATAAGATATAAAAATGAAATGACCCTTTGATCATATTATCTCTTATAAAAAGGCTGCTGTTGAGAAAAAATGAAGTCACCTCCCTTGAAAGCACAGCAAATTTAAATAAATAATTACAAAAAACATTTATACTTGATCTTTGGAGATTTATCAGGTCAGCCATAGCTTCATTATTCTAAAGAAATCCACAGAAATGTGTGCATATGCATTAAAAACATATAGGACTGTGTGATACTCCAGTGTTAGTGAGTACAAGCGCACTGGTTTGCATATGGGTGCGTAAACAAGAATAATAGATGTAATTTTCCAGCTTTGCAATTTGTTTGTGTTATGTCTATTTTGACAGTATACAAAGAAACTTGTGCAGCATTTGCATTGCTTGTGCAGTGCATTTTATAAGAGGAAAATTTAAATATATGAGTAGAAAAATTATGAAATATTTTCAACATCAAGATGTAATAGAAGTTTGCTCCAAGCAAAGTTACATTAACCCAAGAACATCATAGATTGTATGGCAATCCTTGAGGGCAGCAAATAACATGCCTGGTTCATCTCCAACAACACCTTCCAATTTGAAGAAAAAAATCATTCAGTAAATGAACAACTGTATAACATTAGTCAGTCGTATGCATATTCTCATGTATTTAATACCATAACAGCATTTAGGATAATGATAAATCGTGTTGTGTCTTTAGTAACTGTAATTAAAGAACCATTTGTAATATTTAAAGCCACTTTTCAAATCAGAAACAGTTGGGCAGTTAAAAAACATGCACTTCAATTGTTCTATATCAGGTAAAATATATTTTAGAAATATTACACCTTCACTGGCTAAATGGCAAGCTCTTTCAAAATCAAGCACGGCCATATGTTATTAATGAAGACACAAAAGACTGCACATGAAAACTAACAGCTTCAGCA